CAACCACCACCTGTCACCCCTTGTCGACACAACCCACTACCATTGTTGTTGCTGTCAAAATCTTCTCCTCATCAGATCATGTCACACCCCAAAACCAAGAACGGAAGAAACGTTCTGAAGCAGAGGATCTCATGTATAGTATCACAACACAGTATAATAGCAAACAAGTAAAACACATCATCCATTGCATTAAATATATAATTTTAATACAAGTGTGTTTTGTAGTATATAAGACACCAAAACATAAATCAAAATATAAGATGAGTCTTGTATGTGCTCCATCCTCTCAAAAGTTGGCATCGGTACCTGTCTACTGATGACCTGAGAATACAAGTTATTTTGAAAGAGTTGATCAACATTAAAACTGGTGAGTTCATAAGTATTTAGTGTTTATGTTTGTATCAAAACGTTTGAAACAGTGTTTGAAGTACGAGTTTTGTAAACATTTGTAGTAAAAGTATGTGAATGTTTGTAAGTGTTTGTAAAAGTTTGTAACTCCAAGAGAATCCTATATTTTCTACTAAAAGTAGCCTTCTACCAAGGAACAACTGTTTTGTATGTTTGTTTCTTGTAAAAGTGTGTAATTCTCCCAATTGTAACTATCATTATCAAAATATAGTTCGTACATTAATGTTTAAGTGATATGATCACCAAATAAATGTAAATGGTAAATTAATGTAGTACTGTAGTGTTGTATTATAGGAACTACTGCAGTACTAACTACCTTAAACCGGATTTATATCAAGGTATTATGTGATTAATTATACCATACTATCGACTGGGAAACACGACAATGTAAGTCATCAAAAGGTATGACACTTGGCACCCGAAGACCTGCCGGTCCCATTGTAGCTAGCAGTAAGGCGTAGGATAGTCAATCCGGTATAGATCTATACGCAAACTCACGTTCTCCCTCCAGGAGATTCTAGTTACAACTCGGGCCATGACAATGAAGGCATGCTCCAATACAGTGGATCACATTTATGTGATGGTATACTTGTATATGTAATGTATGTACTTGTGTAATGAATGTATTGTTTCTCATCATAGTATAGTTGTATATGTTCTCATCATAGTATAGTTGTATATGTTCTCATCATAGTATAGTTGTATATGTTCTTATAGTAATAAGTAATGACTCATGAATGAACTGAATCTTGTATGCTTCATTGAACTAGAAGTAGTAAGTAGTATAATCCTAAACTATACCTATTATAGTTTATTAGTAGACTTGTTTGTACGACTGAATGTACTGAACTGAGATAAAATTCTTTATATCTATACATATATACATAATATATAAGTAAGGATTCAACGACACTCGGACAAACAACTGGGTACTTTAAGTCCACAACCAAACAAGGACAAGAAATAAAGTGGGTTATCTCTCCTATGTCCTTCAAACCTTATTTATATAACTATATATGTAGTACACATGGTTTTAACAATATATAAGTTTAAAAACTGTAAAAGAAATGTTTAGTATACAAAAGTGAATTTGATAAAGAGTTTGACATGTAAAATAGTTTGATAAACAATTTGAAGTCATTTGTTTGGTAAAACAGTTTAAAGTATGGAAAATTCATTAGTATGCTAGTTATTAAGCACATGTGATTGATCTAATAACTAACATGGTGAAACTTGTATCCCCCCACCTTATAAAAGCATTTACAAACATTTAAAAACATTTCAAAGGTTAATTAAGGGGTATGAACTCCCCTGTAGTGAGTGGTTTGTACGGAAGTGCTAGACAAGGTGCTAGGTGTCAAGTGAGGACTTGAACACACACAATGGTCCTAGTTAACATATAATAAACATATATGTATCTAATTAGTCAATTAACAAACTAATTAATCAAGTTAAGATACCCTAGGACATGGAAACACTTTGATTCAAGTGTTAGAGGTACCAAAGGGTTTCATCTAAGGGTTGTATGGCATGGCATTGGAGTTTATGGCCCAAGAACCACTCCTTATGGAGTTTACGGCCCATGACCATTTCCCCATGAGTTTATGGCCGTAAAATAATGGTACTAAGTGCCAATTTGTGTTTTGAGGTCTTATAAGTCATGATTGCACATCCAATGATCAAGTCCAAGCCTTAGGAAAGCATTAGGGCATAATAAGACTACTTTGTAGAGTTTACGGCCTAAGGACCATATCCTTATGTGTTTACGGTTGTAAACTCTTATGGGGACTTGTTTTGATTGTTGTTTAAGGTCTTAAACACTTCTAGGAAGGATCAAGGTTAGCATCCAAGGCTTAGGAAGGGACTAGGGTCCATTTAACCACCTTAAGAAGGGTTTACGGTCGAAGAACATCCTTGGCCGTAAATTCCTTTGATCTTATGATTCTTGATGATTTTCAAGTGTTATCAAGTTCATATTAAGCACACAAGAAGCTAAGGCAAGTGTACTTACAAGATAGAAGCTTGATTTGGTGTTTAAGGTCCAAGAACACTAGTGTGTGTTCTTGGTGTTTTGAAGAACACTTGAAGATCTACTTGAAAAACAAGAATGAATGGATGAAATGATGTATAACTACTAGATGTTAGGTTATAACAACAAATCAAGTTGATAAACACTTACGTTTTCGAGAGATCGGGTGAAGAACGGGATGATAGTTGAGAGAGAATGGGGAGTGTTCTTGAGGGTGGAAGTGAGAAGTGAAGATTTTGGGGAGTAAACTCATGCATAAGGCATGAGTTCACGGCTACATGGGAGTTTACGGCCCAAACTCTAAAAGTTTGGCCGTGAACTCCTTATTAGGGTGGTATGTGTGGTTTTGCAACTCCAAGACCCGAGACGGTACTTCCTTTCATTCGTTCGTTTGAAGAATAAATAATAAAAACACTCAAACGGACTTCAAATTGGCTAACAATTATCAGAAATGTAATTAACTTTTAATTGAAGTGCTTGACTTTAGGGATTGTACAAATGAAAATTTCGGGTTGTCACATATCAATTGCCACCTTCCTCGTCCCTCTCCCTGACTTCATGCTGACAGAAAAAACGAACGAAAAAGGCAACGTAGAAGCCACTGTGCGCTACCCATCACCACCACTGCCATTTTTTTTCTTTTTTGAGTTGTTGCTTAAGACTCCGATCAACCATCACATCCCCCACTATGAGAGCTACGTACTAGGTTTGGAAGCATAGAAGATACGAGGTATTAAATATTTATGAATCTCGGGGATACAGAGTGTTAACAGAGAGAGAGAGGGGGGGGGAGAGAGAGAAAGGTGGATCAGGGGGGCCAATTTTATATTTAATAATAATAACTATTTTAAAAAGTACAAGAAAAATGAAAACTAAATTCATTAAGGGTATAATAGTCTTTTTAGTTTGGATAGGGACCAAAACTGCATACAAACTAGCTCAAAATGACCACCAATCCAAATAACACGTTTGTTTGGACCAAAACCCAAAAAAAATGCATACCACAGGGACCATTTTTGCGATTGTGTCATATGTGGCTGTTGTGTACCTAATATTAGGTATAGAACCATTAAAAACTACATAGTTTTAACAAAATACGATCAAATCTCTCTACCATCTTTCTTGTATTCTCTATTAGACTAGATGATAGGCTTTGTACATACTTTTATAGAGTTTTAAATTTTTAATTTTGCAACACAAACCATGTATAAGAATACATTATCAACTACCTATAAATCTTAATATTCAAATTTAAAATAAAAATTACAGTGAACGATTGAAATTATTCATTAAAAACACAATAAACTGCTTCCAATAATACATCAAAAAGAACCATGCAAGTATATATATGGTTGGTGTCAAAGAAAATTTATGAAACCTACTAGATATCTAATATAAAAAACACTTTCGAAATACATAAATGTTGGAGATAAATTATGAAATCAGATATAATATGATCTCAAAAGCAATAAGAAGAAACTAACAATGTCAAAAATTGTGTTTATTTAATCAAAATGAAGTCAAATTTGATGGTTCTATATCTAATATTAAATACATGATAGCCACATATTCACTTTTTCTATATATATATATATATATATATATATATATATATATATATATATATATATATATATATATATATATATATATATATATATATATATATATATATATATATATATATATAACAAAAAAAAACTCTAAAAATAATAAAAACACATAAAAAATACTTGGAGATCACAAATCTTTTTTTTTTTTTTTTACTTTATATTCTGAAAATCACAACTTATTTTATAAATTCGTTGAAAAAAAATTAAAAAATCGATTATTTATTTATTTATTTATTTTTTATTTTTTTTGGTAATTTTCGTTTTTTTTTTTCAAAAAAGATTTCAACGAATTTGCATAAAAAGTTGCGTTTTCAAAGAATATAAAGTCAAAAAAAAAAAATTGTGATCTTTAAGTATTTTTTTAAAGCATTTTTATAATTTTTAGGTTTTTTTTTGGATATTTTTGTTTTCCATATAACCTTAACATATATATATATACTAGCAAGGGTTAAGGGCCGTGCTAAGCCCGGCCCACGAAGTGTAATTTAGATATATTTCCAACAAACAATATTGAATTCAAGATGTGATGATGATATTTAACTTGATACATATATAACTTCATACATATTCGAAAAGTCGATGTTCCAGATTGTAGTACATTAGTAGAATGCTATGAGATGGACAACAGTGAATTCTATTTTTAACAAAAGTGATGTTTTGATAGAAAGTGTTCATCGATTTCTAAATTCCAAAAGAGTTGAAAATTTGAAGCACTTTCAAGTTATGCAGTGTTGTCCGATAACAGCTTTGTCGATGAAGTTCATTCCATTCCATATCTACATGGTCTTTTCAAAATGCAAAAGATTCGGGAATCTTCTTGTTGGTTCCATTCCATACCTACATGGTTTTTTCAAAACGCAAAAGATTGGTGATTCTTCTTCATTCCATTCCATATCTACATTGTTTTTTCAAAACGCAAAAGATTGGTGATTCTTTTGTAGGTTTGATTCTTATTTGGTTCTTTTAGTTGGCCTTGGTGCACCAACTGTTGAACCATGAACTTCCTTAAGTGGATGGAATTCTGATTGGGATCGTTTTTGAGTTTGTTGATTAGATGCTCGTTTAAGTGCTTCTTGTTTGATCTCGTGTGGCTTGAGAATGATATCAGGAGTAACTGTGACTATTTCCTTCTCTTCTGGTTTATGTTGATCGGTTTCTTTAATTTGAGTTACCGCACCATCTGTTGAACCTACAATTTCCTTCAACGGTTGCACTTGTAATTGGGTATCCTTCCGACTCTGTTCATAACATTCTGCCTTCATTGCTTCTTGTTCAGTTGGGCGTGGCTTCAGATTAGTTTCTTGAGCACCACTTCCTTCGATAAGGTTGTTGTCTTTCGTTTTATGTGCCTTCACAATGACATATCTTGTTGTGGATTTCCTTTGGTGGGAGGTTGTGTACGATCGTACAAATGCAACAACTGATGATTTGTCAATGGATGATGAAATGATATTATAGATATTTGTTCCCTGTTTTTAGGTTGAGCAGTTAGTTTATATAGTAAAAGTTCAATCGAATATGTAATTAATAATTTGTAGGAAACTTATCCTTACTTCCTCTTCTGCATCCTTAACTTCTTGAGGACTGAATGGGATAAACTTTTCAAGATCGGGACTTGCTATGCTTGTGCGGATGGATGCGGTTCCATCATTGATTTCAACTATAGCTCTTGACCTGTCCATACAACCATGTTGTTGTAAAATTCTTATTTGTGTTTGGTTATAGTTTATGGTAAAATTTGACTTACCTTATCTCAACCTCTGATTCTTTCTTATAGAAATTACATGTTATGATCCAAGTGACATCTACTCCAATTGATTTTAAGCAATTAGCACATACTGTATGTGTGAATGTGTTGTCTTCATGTTGTAATCTTAGGTTCCCTCGCATCCATGTTGGTTTACCCTGTTTGATGTAAAAAAAAATACATCAATAAGTTTATTTTTATTAGAGAAAAGAAGACAGTAAACAATATCATCAGATTGGTATATTCCCTAACATTTTTCAGTCTTTCTATTGCTGTAGCTATCGGAAGGATGTCCGGTTCTTGTGGGTATGGCAGCAGCAGATCAACATCCTTGTATGACTCTTTGTTAAGTAATTCTTGTATCTCACTTCTGTTCTCGTTATACCTGTTGTGTATAAACATGTGTGAGTTGTAGTAGAAACAGTTGTAGTTTTCATTTTAAAAACAATTTTAGTTGGAAATACCATGCTTTGAGCTGCAGTTCTGCTGTGACTGGTGGGTTAATAAGGATTGCTGATGCCCCTTTTGTTGATAGTGAAAGTCCTGTAGGTATTTGAAGAATAAATATGAGTGCAGTTATTTGTATATGGCTATGTATGTAGATAATTGTTGAATAAGTGAACATAAACTGACCATAAAAAGTGGTGACTTTAACCCGCATTGCAAAAATCATGGGTACATCATCAATCTTCTGCTCCAATTCACGACCTTCTTTTTGATCAAGAGAGCCCCACAGTGTAAGTATCATAAGCTTCTTCCTATATGATAAATATTAATGAATATAAAATATCATATTATAGTTTCAATTCATAACTATAAAGTCTTGTCTTCGGAGAAAGTTTGTAATGCATTTACATACTCCTCATTTACAATTACAATATCTCTTCTTGAGAAACGATTTGATGGGTCTTCCCCTTGTTCGCTTGGGAGGCATCTGACAACAACAGCTCGTATACCTGTGTTTTTAGGAATATATATATAAGTTTATTTGTAAAAAAAATATACTAATAGTTATTAAAAGCTGATGGTTGAAACTATAATCGTACTCTGATAATTTTCTTCATCTGCAAACCTATAGAGTTGGTTGAATGGAGTAAACGCAAAGTGACATGGGAGCACAGGTGGGTCGATCTCTGGATGAGGTTCAACGAGTGTAATTTTATTCAGTGACCAGGAGTGTGGGTATGAGCTTACGAGGAATCGAGTTTGTGCTTTGATCAAATTTGCGTTTGAAACGGAGTACCGTCTGTACGGTTCGAATGTATTTTTAAAATGGGTAAGATGGAACTCAAAGATCAATGTTGTTACCCTTGTTCCCTGTTTTAAGATATATTAGTTAAAAACTTATTGAAAAGAATATTGGCAAAAACATATTTTTAGTACCTGACTATCAGTAAAAAGAAGCCTTCTATATTCGCTTTTGTTATTGGTTTCTAGTACGTGGCCAACTTCCAGAACTTGGACCAGCACAGTCCAATTTATTTTTAGGCTAGGAGTGATGTCTAGTATGTTGTAGTGATCTCGAGTCATATTTGGTAAGCTTCTTCCAGTTTTGCTTGTAAAGATGATATTAGTTGTTAGTATAAGGACATTTTAGTGATAATTTGGTAGTCTAAGGATGTCACACATGTATGGCGTGAAATAAAGTAAGTTATAAACAATATCGTATATTTTGGTCCATTCATTATCACTGCTTTCCTAGGGAGTAAACATGGGTAAGAAGTATTTGTGGAAAATACATACTTAAATTCGTAGAGTTATATAATAAATGGGGTAAAATACAACTAAAAATATGCTTTTTAAGTAGTTGTGTATTACTTGTTTTCATTTAATAGAAATGTTAAGTAGCAAGCTTTTAGATGATGAATAAAGCAGTTCCTTTTTACTACATTTAACTGTAAAGAAAAAAGCCCTAATGGATATTTTTTAAAATACATTGTGCATTTCACAGGGGAAATTACTTACTGTAACATGCAACATGCATTTCAGTATGAATGTGTACATAAGCTAAGAGAAGATGATTTTGGATCATGCATTCAATAATACAAAAAAATACATATACTTAGGAATTAGGATGATGGAGAATACCTGGGATTTTAAGTGTTGACAGGAAGGAGGACTACTTTGGATATGCGAATGGAAGTTTTATAAAAGAGAAGGTAGTAGCCGGATTTCTTGAGTTATGTGTGTAATACAGAAAATGTAGGTGTCACGTTATAAGAAAACTTCGTAATATGAATCAGCACACGTGTGAGTTCTCTCTCGGTAATACTCAAGTGTTCGGATCTGTAAAGATTTGATGAAGATTTAGTTTGTTAGCTTCAAGGATTTGTTCAAAAATGAAATAATTTGTACAAGTTGTAAAAAAATTAGATATTAAAATGAATTTAAAATTAGCTACGAACAATTTTTGTTATTATCATTATAATTTGCTTTTTGAAAACCCTATGGATTTAGAAAATTATCAATATATAATTAAGGTTTTTAAATTAGCTTACATATTGAAAATTTTATCTTGTAACGTATTGAACTATTAATTATTAAAAGGCCAAAACATAACAAATATTACTTACGTAAAAAATGATTGTTTGTTTGAATAAAGATAATACTCATGATATATTGGTATATGAAAGGAACGAAATTAATTTTCCAATTTAACCCATAAAATTCAAATATCTATGTTGCGGTTTCTTATATATTTTAATTTTCTTTTAAGTAAATAATTGTATTTTTGTTGCTTGATTATGTTTTTTTAGAAGAGCAGTAAATGAATTGAATTAACGTGAAAAGTATTGAGAAGCGGTTAAAATTACAAATATTTACAAGAACACTACAGGTGAAAAAAACCGTTTAACAACAGTTTTTTATTAGTAGTTTTCATCTTAAAGCAACCAAGTTTCATGTTTTTACTGAAGATACCAACAAAGAATTAGAGGATGACCAAAAATAAAACCCGAGTATTATTGATCCTTGGAAAAAAACTGCAAAAAAACCTATGTGTTTTTTTGATTTTTTTCTCCATTTCAATATCATATATTTATTATTTGAGGGTAAAAGTGTCAAACAAGAAGTCAACCATTATTCATGAGCATGGGCTTCTTCTTTAAAGTTAAAATGGTTGAAATTAAAGTAAGAATGACCTTTACAGTTTACATATATGGAGTAACAACCAAAAATATATAGGAGTACAAAAATTGTTCCAAGTTAAAATTTTAGGGCCTTCAAAGACATTATCATTCTATGAAGAAGCTGAAAATAGCAATTTACTTTGACAATGTCTTTAATCCACTGCAGCGTTAGTCTTGGCATATTGAATTTGAGAAATCAGGAAAATAGCATCAAACTTTTACATGATTGTTGATGAAGAAACAGTCCACCCCAGAAGGAGCAGGAGGTAGGAAGGTACTTTTAGAATAGTTGGTCTTTTAGAATGGAACTACAACTAAACTGCAGCAGCTCCCACTACAATTAGAACCTTTGAAATTTGAGGGTCCTGAAATGCATTATGAATCATGAAAGACAATAAGGTAAAGTAGTTTGTGTATGCAGTGGCAATAAGCATAAAATCGAAACGTACTTTGTAAAACAAATTTCATCCATCTTTATGATGTTTTTTTCAACTACATGCGTCCCGCTAATCTTTTGAAACTTCTAATCTCCATCAACCTAAAAAAGGAAGAAATTTAAACTTTTATTACTTGTAACTGTGTAAAAAAAAAAAACAAACAAAAAAAAATTGTTACCTTCATAACTATAATAAAAAGGCATCTAGCATAAATTTTCCTCTGGCTGTAATGCCAATAAGCAGAAAATAGCAACATAATTTGAAAATCTTTTTAGTCCATGTTTTTTCGTTTCTTTTTTCAACTACATGTGTCTGACTAACCCGTTGAGACTTTCCTTCTCCATTAGCCTACATAAGAAAGAAATCTAAACGTTTATTACTTGCAATTGAGCACAAATGAAAAAGACAAAGAAAAAGATGATACCTTTATCATTTCTATAAAGACAATTTAGGACAAGTTTTCTGCTGGTTGCTAGTGAGAAAAAGCAGAAATTGCAACGTACTTTGAAAAAAAATTTGATCCATTTTTTTGTTTTTTTTTTTCAACTACATTTGTTTGACAAACCCTTTGAAACTTCCCATATCCATCAACCTACATAAAGGAGAAATGTAAAGTTTTAACACTATACAATTTAGGGAAAAAAACAGAAAAGTGGTACTTATATGATTTTAGTAAAAAAGAATAAAAAAAAATTCCCCTCTGGTTGCTAGTGGCAATAAGTAGAAAACAGCAATGTAAAACATTTTAGGCCATTCTTTTTCAGCAAAATGTGTCCCACCAACCCTTTGAAACTTCATATCTCCATCAACCTACATGAAGGAGAAATCTAAACCTTTATTATTTGGAAATGAACACAAATTCAAAAAAAGAAGTTACCTTTCATCATTTTAGCCCAAAAAAAATTGTGGTTGCTAGTCAGTTCTGCCAAAAAAAAAACAATTGAAATGGACATTAAAAGGTTACTAATTGTTTAAAAAGACAAAGAAAAAGAAAAAGTCAGTTGACAGACAAATACATATAGATATATTTGACGTTACTTTGATCATCAATGAAAAGGAATTGAGAGATGTTTTTTTTTTTCTGTGGTTGCTAGTCGGAGCTGTAAATAAACAAATTAAAATTGACATTAACAACTTATTTATTGTTGAAAAGAGAAGCCAACTGTCAATTTACAGACACATACACGTGGACATGTTTGGCATATTGTAATACTTCTTGATGTACAATATTTTTTGTTTTGTTGGTGTCTAAAGAATACAAAGGATGGTTGATGAGAACTTTGACATTTTCAATTCTTTTGGCACGAGATAGGGCAACATATAGTTGTCCATGTGAAAATACTGGCTCCTTAAGGTATACACCTACAAAGTCTAGTGTTTGGCCTTGTGCTTTGTTGATGGTCATTGCGAAACACAACCTAATTGGAAATTGAATTCTTTTGAAGGGAACCGTATATTCTTTGCCTGTAGGTGGTTGTAATGGAATCCTGTGTATAAAGACCTCTTTCCCAGCGAAATCTCCAAATGCTATTTCCACACGAATTACATTCCTGTTGAAGTCTTTGCAAAACAGTCTTGTACCATTGCATAATCCTTCGGTAGGATTCATGTTTCGCAACAATATAATAGGTGCGTTTTTCTTTAAAACGAGTCGATGTGGTGGCATACCATTAGGAGTTAGAGAATGAAGTAGATCTTCATAATGTCCCTGGTCGTTTACATCAAGAGTTTCATCAAAACTATTATACTCTATTTCTTCTCCTGGGAACTTCTGAATCAAGACATCATTTATTTCACTAACAAAAGCATTTTTCGTTGTCAAAATAGCTCGGTTGAAGGACGAAGGCACATTGGAAGATTTACCATAAATACTTGGGTAAACATATTCAATGAGAAGATTTAAGGCATCCTTCTGATTGTTACTCTCTATGATCATTGCTGCAGGAATAGTGACAACATCATCATGTTCAGAACTCTCTTCGCCGTCGCCTAACCTTAACAGAAATTCAGTAAATTTTGGATCTAGTAATGCTCTCATGTTTTGTTCCAGCTGTAGTACACATAGTGACGGCCACAAAAAAGAGTTAGTAAGACAAGCAGCAATTGTTTCAGATTTGCTCCCTTTTCGAACAACCGGTAATGTTTGCCTAAAATCTCCACCAAGAACAACCACTTTGCCACCAAAAATTTCACTTGAGTCCATAAGATCTTGTAGCAAACCATCTAAAGCTTCTATTGCATACCGTTTTGCCATCGGAGCTTCGTCCCAAATAATCAACTTAGAGCTCTTAATCAAATTAGCCAAAGAACATTGCTTACTAATTCTACAATGCATTCCATCAGAAAGATCCAATGGAATTTTAAATCTAGAATGCGCGGTTCTGCCCCCTGGAAGTAAGGATGCAGCAATTCCTGATGTTGCTGTGGCTAAAGCAATTTGTCCTGCTGATCTGATCTTTGCTAGCAAAGCTCTATAGAGAAAAGTTTTGCCTGTATCTCCTGGTCCATCAACAAAGAATGCCCCACTTTTCTTGCAATCCACTGCTCCAATGATTTTATCAAATGCAACTTTCTGTTTTTCATTGAGATTGTGTATTGCTTGTAAATCAGCCTCACATACAACAATACTCTTTTCTGCTCTTATTTCTCTTCTTTCATCTTCCAAATCATCATATGAAAAGTCAGGAGGCAAGACATCAAACTCATTAAGTTGTCTTCCTATTGATTGTAAGAACGCGTTTACTTGCTGAAATGCACATCTAGTAGCTTCTTTACGCGTGTACTGATCACATTGTATAAGATCTTCCAACATCGAATCCTCAAAAGATACCCACAGTTGGCGGGGATTGTTTGGAGTCGTGTAAACAAGTAACGTTGCAAAAAGTCTCCGTAGTTCGTACGACATTTTGAACACTGATGCCTCTTGGAGACATAACTGTTGACTGTTATCATCAATTAAATATCCATGAACCAATGCAGATTCTCGAAATGTGGCAACCTGAACTCCATTAAAAACCTTAAGATCTTCATATGATTTAGGACAACGAATTTTCAATAAAAGCATCCTCAGATAATATCTTTCACCTTCACTTGGATGGGCAACCACTATACGCCCTATTGAATTATCTTGTTGCCTAGGTATCCAAACCTTTTTGTTCGACTTCCACACAAAATGATCAGGAAATTGGACGTATGTTAAATTTAAACTTTGTGCAAATCGGTCCGTTCTATTTTTAACAAAAAACTCGGTCAACATTGTCTTTCTTTTATCAGCATTTTCAACAATATTCTTCAAACGTTCTCTCTTTTTAAATGTGATTGGCTGAAAATTCTCCAAATGAAGAGGCAAATGAATAACGGCTGGTTTAATTTCGCCCATCGAAAATCTAAAAATCCGCCATGCTCCTTCAGGTGGGGATATCCATCTACCTGCTTGAAACCGATCAATCTCATTTATGGATTCATCATCATCTTTTGAAGAAACAACAAAACTAATTTTATCATATCCTTTGCATATGTACTTATATATGTATTTTACAGCTTTTATTGTGGAACATATTTCTATATTTACATGACAATCAAACTTACAAAGTAAATATGGGTTATATGGAACAATCCATCTGTTGTCGAGCTCAGCACCTCTCACCATAACTTTAACTCCGTTGTCACGTCTTCTGTAAGAAGGATATGCATCATTACCTTGAGTTGTTTGAGATGAAAAATCTTTTGGATAGAAATTCTTACAAGTTCCCATTTTTTTCATACAAACATTGTCTGGATTAAGGGAACCACATGGACCGTGAAACATATGTTTCACTACCATCCTAAAGAGATGAGGATTTGCATTTTTATCCGGTATTTCAGCACAAACTATCTCATCATATTCTTCTGTGTGGTGCATCTTATAGTGTGGTGCAAGTATAAGCAAAAAATGAGCATGCGGCAGACCTCTTTTTTGGAACTCCACAACATAAGTGTATGCGACAACCTTTCCAAATATTTCTTTTTTGAAGATTTCATCTTTAAATTGCTGAAGCTTGGCATGGAATACTCTAACAATCAAATCGGCCCTATTTTGTGTTTCCTCATGAGGCATCAAGTGTTGTTTTATTTCAGGCCAATTAGGGTTACATGTCAAAGTTAGGAAAATATCTGGCTTTCCAAATTTTTGTACGAGTGCCATAGCATCAATGTACCTACGTCTCATATTTCTCGGACCACCAATAAAATTTGCTGGTAGAATGACTCTCTTCCCAATAGATGAAGCATTTGTTTCCCCACTTGTCATTGCGTCCACCACCCCTTGAAGGAATTCTTGTCGTAACTCCTGTTGTTGTGTTCTGTAGAAAGCTAATCTTTGTGTCTCCAATTTAACGTAGATGTCAACTATATATTGTTGTAACAAACGACCAAAAAGCAATAAGCAAGATTTATCATTTCTGCGTATCTGAAGCTTATAGGCATAATATTCCCTTATCGAAACACATTTTGAAGTCTCTAGATTGCGTCCCAAAACTGTGACAACAGAGAAATACAATAAGTAGAAATAAAACAAAGAAACACAATATGAGAAAAAGGTATTTCATACCACTCTCTTCCATATCCAGTAGTTCATCAACATTTGTAGCAGCCCAGGGTGAGATGAGTGTTTCTGCCTCAGAAATAACTTTTCCTCCTTTCATCCTTTGGGAAGCAGTTTTTTTCGGAATATGCTGATGCCAACCAAGTTCTCCAAGCGGAAACATTAAAGGATACTGTAACGGATCATAGCAGCCATAATAATATTGAACAGTTCTGGACTGATCACTATGTGTTTTCACTTCAATGTTCCTTTGACCTTGTTCCCCATTGACTTCGCCTTCAACCCAAAGAGCAGCTACTTGTGAGACATCCGGTTTGTTATACACCCGTTGATCTTGTCCGGGGATAATCTTAAGAATAATCTTGTATTCAGCAAAACATGGAACATCTCTTAAATTGCTGAAAAACCGTGCATAAGGATTTTGCTGCAGATAGGCCATGCATATTGCAATTAACTCTTTAGATAACCGTGGAGAAGACATAAATCGGTTTTCTATTTCATTTTCATTGTCATGGAAATAGAGTTGAAGATTTTTGGCACTTTTCTCATCAGGTTGTAAATCATTGAGAAAATGATAGACCTGACCCTGTACTCTGAAAGTATATATACCCATATTTCTTTTTGACAGATCATTGTCGGCCCTAACACCAAATGAAGTA